CCATGGTTGGGATTTCCATGAAGGCTGGGGCGGTCTCCATGGCAGGAGACGCAAACCAGGCCGGTCAAGCCTGGGGGAACTCGGGGAGGTAAGTGGCCATGGTTGGGACTTCCATGAAGGCTGGGGCGGTCTCCATGGCAGGAGATGCAAACGAGGAAGGCCAAGCATAGGGGAATTCGGGGAAGCAAGTGGCCATGGTTGGGACTTCCATGAAGGCTGGGGCGGTCTCCATGGCAGGAGATGCAAACGAGGAAGACCAAGCATAGGGGAATTCGGGGAAGCAAGTGGCCATGGTTGGGACTTCCATGAAGGCTGAGGCGGTCTCCATGGCAGGAGACGCAAACCAGGCCGGCCAAGCCTGGGGGAACTCGGGGAGGTAGGTTGGGACTTCCATGAAGGCTGCGGCGGTCTCAATGGCAGGAGATGCAAACCAGGCCGGCCAAGCCTGGGGGAACTCGGGGGCTGCCGCCGGCTGGTGCAGCTGGGACGGTCACTAAATACCTGCGAAAGTCATCGATTCACAGCTCTCTAAGAGAAGGCACTTGCATGTGACTCTTCTGAGGGCTGTTTTATCAAGGCGTTGTGATGAGGCTTTTGAGTGGCCTTGTTGGACAGGACCACCCACCCGTCCCAATCGTGGCTTCCGGGGGTCCCTGACCCAAGACCCCAAATACACTGTATCAGCTGCAATGTTCAAACAATGATAAACTCGGTTTAGCCAGGGTTTCGAATAACCCAAACCCCAAGCCCCAAACCCAAAACCAGAAACCCCTCCCCCTCAAAAAGAACACAAGCAATGCTACACTCACTGCGTGAGGGTCTGATACACGATATTGCGTACATCCTTGCTCCCCTCAGATGAGCTTGTAGTAGATACGATTGTCGTTGCACTTCCAATGAATGTGACAGGAACCCTCTGCAGGCAAACTCGGTCCACTCCTTTTACCGCGTCGGGCTTGAGTCCGATGTTGATGATGGGGGGTGGCCAGCAGGAGCAGCAAGTGCAACAACAGGCGCCACCAACCGGAGACCGGAGCAGAACCACCAACCCAGTCAGGGGCAAACAGCAGCAGCTGCCACGACTCAATGGGGGGGGCGGCAGGCTATGGGGGAACCATGGGGGTGGCCAGCAAGCGAAGAAGTTTCTTCAGGAAGCGGGGGGAACAAGGTAGGAGCAAGCCAGCAGGCGGCATTTCAGCAGCGCGGGTGGACCAAAGATGAAGATGAGACGTGGAAGGGTGTTGCTCACCTCGCCGAGGATGACGAGGAGGAAAGCTGGGCGCAGGTGCAAGCCAGGGGGCCGCCGCCGGGGGAACCCAGAATCCGGCCAGACCGCAGACAAGGGGGCACACACAGGACAGACCCTCGGCAAGCCGGGGGGACCCCCACGCAGCCCAACTGGACTGCGGGCGATCCAGGTGACGTGATTTTGATGCCCTGTAGCTGGAGGCAACGTAGCCAGCTCTGTCAGGAATAGCCCATTCGCACACAGCTCTGCCGCAGCTGCTTTGTTGGCGTCTTGCTTCGCCTTCCAATTCCCTCGGCGACCACAACTTCACCACCACATTGCACTTCGTAAGTAAGCTTAAATGTGGGGCCCATGTCCGGATCATCGATTTCCACAGCTCACAGCCTGGAGACTTTACTTCACCTGCGCAAATACAGCTCTGTCATGTTCGGCCAGCCCCCGTAAACTGAACGCAAAACAGTTTGATTCACTGAGCGCCAAGGTTCTAGCGAATGCCACGCCGTTCCGCTTAGTCAAGTAAGTCCGCAGAGAATGCGGGCGGGACCGACGAGCTGCCCGCATGAGCAGTGTTAAACGAACCACATCCAAAACCGCTCAAGAAATCTTCGCGCAAATTGCAGTTAACACGGACATTGCACCAATAGTCTCCACAGCGAATGTGACGCGAGTAAAGACTGCCTCATAGAAATCGAGATGGAGATGGAAATGGAGATGGGAACGGCGATGGAGATGGAGATGGAAACGGAGGTGGAGATGGAGATAGATATAAAGATAAACATAGAGATAAACATATAGATACACAAGAACAAACACGAACCATCCACTGTATGTTCAGCTGGCTTCTTGAGACGACCCGGTGGACAGCTTCAGAGTCAGGCCTGCCCCACAGCACTTGGGCGAAGGTGTTAATGGCCGCGAAGTAGCTGCCGTATGTGTTTTGCATTCGATCCTGGGAGCTGCCAGCATCTCGTGTTCGGGATTTACTTGCAAGGCGGCAAGCTAAACGACGACACTTAGATCTCAACTTCGTGCCCGTATCTCCACAAGCCAAAGCATCGCAGACATGAAATACAAATACAAGAAATGTTGAAAGTGGATCATCCAGCACCTGGACAAAAGCAACCTGGGCTTGACAGAAATTTCCTCAGTGGCAGTCCCAAGCTGGCATAAGGCCCGACCTCAGGGCATTGAGAACCCTCGAAGCAAACGGCCCAGATATGCCCAGATTGAGTTTCCAGTAAAGCAAACGAAGTGGGGTGTAGCATTGCACGGGAGGTGGCCACCGACATCGTCATGAGGGCGAGTCCTTGCCATCGACAGGCTCGTCAAGGTCTGCTGGAGGACTGCATGGGACGTGGGGGAATGATGCAACTTTGAACTTCGAAGGTGGGAGCCTTGGAAAACCAGAACCACCTACCTGGAACTCTCATCCGAAGATGGAGCCTGGGAAGGTTAGGGCACCCATGTTTATAAATCAGAGCTGTAATCAAATTTTGAACCCCGGACGACGGGAGACAGGACTGTTCTCAAACTTGAACTGCGAGCATGGAGGGGCGCCCATGGCTTCAAAATGAGAACTTTGACAAACCAGGAACTCCGAGGATGGAGTGTTGGACCGATGGAGTGCCAACGATCTTGAAAGCGGAAACCCCACGAACCACGCGTTGCATCAAATGTCATGCCTGTGAAACCGTGCTCGAATTCTGTTCGTGGGCGAAAAATGTATCAAACTCTTGGCCAAGTCTGAGTCCGAGGATGGCAACGTGCCCATCTGGTTGGAATGGGAATGCGGTCTTCCGTCTCATCAGCACAACAACTCAGTTGCAGGTACTCGCACCTGCAAGTTCATCAACATCTCAATCTGCCAGTACCAACGAACAACATTTGATAAAGGAAATGCAACGGCTTGTTCTGCGACCTTGGTGGCTCAGCGGCTGCTGTCCCTCAGGCGATGCCGCGACTGCTGTCAAAGCCCCCAAGCCGAACACCTTAACTTCAGGCAGATTTGCATGAAACCAGTGGACCGCAGCCGCATTGTTGGGGCCTTTGGGCAGCCCCCGCAGTGGAGCAGCAACAAGTTGCCATCCCGCTGCCAAGCAGAAGGAATGGCCACAGCGCGCGCAACGCCTAGACGCCACACTACAGCCAAACCACGCATGTCAGCTTCCCGAGGCTGTTTTTTCCGGGCTGACCTCCATGCTGCCACAAATCTGACATTCCCGGGACGTAACGCCATGCCAACGAACGGGTCGGTGCTTCCCATGCGAGCGTCTACCCAAACGGACCATTGACTAGCACTGCCCGCCTACTTCCCAAATTCTGACGACGTCGCATGCGCAAGATGCGAAGATTTTATTGTCCCCGTCCCTGAATGATTGTTTAAGGGAACCCGCCCTGATGCCCACAATGTGGACCTTCGATGGCGGGCACAGTCATATATTGTCGTGAGCAAGAGCATGGTAAGACCATAGCATGTAGCTCTTGAAGACTGGGCCCCTTGAGGGTTCAATTCATGCAGCTGGAGACGGCTGGGCCTCTTGAGGGGCCGAAGCAAGGGATCAAAACATGCACAATCGCTCACATTGTTATTAGCAAAGTATGCTGTGTGCCACCAGGAGCGGTAGCCTGTACATGCAAATTTAAGGTTTAACCTGTGCATTGACTAGCCATGTTTATAACAAAGTGCTGGGTGTGATTGTTGTGTGATATGAAGACAGTAACCAGCACATACGAAGTTTAAGGTTTAGACTGCACATTGACTAGCACTGTTTATGATGGAGTATATTGTGTGAAGTTGTGTATTGAATCCAAACTGAAACAAGTAAAGATGCTCTTTCTAATGTGGGGGGAGTCTATGGGCGGGTGGGGTGTATGATTCTTGAAAATAACTTGCAAAGAAATCTGACAGTCGGAGCTGCTGAACCCTAAACCCTAAACCCTCAACCGTAAACCCCTAAACTTTCCTGAACCCTAAACCCTATCTAGGGTTTAAGCCTTCCTCGGACACCCCGCCCAGCCGAAGACTACAAAAAGTAGGGGTCCAGAACTGTAAAGACTGTAAACGTTTAACAAAGAGGCCAAGGCCAGTGTTGTCAAGTGGTCAAGGCATGTTAGGAGCGGCGTAACTGTCCCCGCACCCTGCGATAATCTCCATGTCTCCGAGCTTCACGCTTGTCACTGGAGCATCACACACCTCAGTGCATGGGAAAGCCTGGAGGATTTTGACTCGGCGGGAAGGCGCTTCAGGGCATCTGCATGGACCAATTTCTCAAGAGATTGTCGTTCGTAGTCCCAGATCGACACGCTGCCTGCGCTGCAGCAGTGTTCACGAACCGTTGCTTCTGCGTCACTGCGTCACTGCGGTTCAAGTGCCTGACGACTGAAGCACTGCCAAGATCCAGGGCTTCGAAGGCAAACACTCCTTCGCACCTGGAGGTGTCCATCCGTATCCATCTGTAACCGCTTCCTAAGAGAGAACACTGCCGAGGCCTGGCCGAGAACTGCTTTGATTTGCCGCTCGGACCCATATTGATGATACTATCGGATACGATAGTACTATCGTATTGTGCTCCGAGGAGTGTTTCTCCAAGCTTTCCCTACTTCGCATAAGGGCTCCCGCGGTGCACCCGATGCTGACAGGCAGCACCCGGGGCCCTGCATGCTTGAAACAAGATAACAAACCCCTGCCAGCATGTGAACTCTAGATTCATCCTTTGTTGTTTCTTGGGATTTCTACCGCACTCAGTGAATCCTTGCTGCTTCTGAGTCCGGCCGCGCTTGCGTCTCTGCGAGAAGAGGCCGTGGCTCTGCAGAGGCCCTGGACGGACCGACGGATCCTCGTTTGCGCACAAAGTTGGGCCCAGAGAGACGTGCCGCCCACGCCATTTCTGCTCTAAACTCGAGGTCGCCTCGATCGCCCCACATGGCGCCCACTGAGGATCAGCGGGGGCTAAGGGTCGGCGCTGAGAGCCTTCTTGTCCCTCAGCTCTATAGGGTGAGAAGATGAGAAGGCAGGCACGGCTCCGGTGAAAGCCAACGAGAAACCTCAAGACGCCAACCGACCGGACGACTCGGCAGGCGTAGGACCGACTTAGAAGTAAAGTAGAGACTTGCCTGAAACTCGATGGGACTTCGCCGGAGCAGCACACTGGGAATAAACGCCTCACGGCAGATTGACGAGCTTCGGGCCCCGTCTCACATCGCCTCGAGCGTTGAAGACAGGGGCCGACAGCTTTCGGGAAATGCCCAGAGGCCCGGGAGTTTCGGGCACTCTCGGGGATTTCAGCCTCTTCGGAGGACTGCGGATGCTCCGAAGCTGCTACGAAGACGATCAAGAATAGCTGAGTTCTGAGGGCGTAGCAAGGGGGGAGCTCCGTCCGCCATCGGACGCGGCGCTCCCGCTCACTTTAACGGAAGCTCAGAAGCTCACGAGGGGCTGGAACCGGTGGCCTCAGCAACACCGCGCTGGTCTGACGATGCATCAGCTGGGCGTCAATGAAAGCCGTGAAGCGAGCGGAGAGGATGCACAGAGCAACGATCACCGGCCCCCCATACAATCGCCAACAACGCTACCGTCACCACCAGGGCATGGACCGAGCCAAAGAAGGCGACCAAGGCAGTGGTATTGTCCGTGCTTCCTGGCACAAACATCTCTTGGAGCCCCGTCTGTTTCCCCTGTGTCCTCGTTCCGGGGCTTGGGGGACTTCTTGCAGCACAGCGCACTCCCGGCACCTGCACGGAGCGCAGCCTTGATCAAAAACTCGGGGGCCTGTCGGACCATGCCACAAAAGACGAATGTTCACGTGAGCACTTCCGCTTTACCCGAGCTTGGCCCAGCTCCTGTCGCTTCTGTTGTCGTCGCCTCGTCCTATTCCTTGCTGACGTCGTGCCATCTTCGTCGTCGTCCTCACCCTCGTCCTCACAACGTCCGCTCCCTGTGCTAGTTGTCCTGGCTGGTGCTGCCGTTGTTGCTGTCCGTGAATTTGGCATTGTTTTAGGATGTGTTGGGAATGCAAAGCCGATTCCGAAAGGGTTTTGTTCCGGAGTGTCCTCACTCCTGTCTGCATGTTGGGACCAGGACAATGCGTCGTGTGTTCTTTGCAGCCTACGTACAGCTGCTACGATACTGCAAACGCAGGCATCAATGGCAGAAGATTGATGCGGCTGATGACGATACTGGCAGGGATGATGGGGATGATGAGGACGATGAGGATGATGGTAATGATGGTGATGATGGTGATGTTGAGGATGATGATGGCAATGATGATGGTGATGATGTTGGTGATGATGATGATGAGGAGGAGGAGGATGATCATGACGATGATGATGATGACGATGATGATGATGATGATGTTCATGATGTCGATGACGATGACCACCAAGTAGCAGCTTGGGTCAAGGGTCGACGTTCAACCCGCCTTGTCCTGCAGGCGCTCCGCGACGTTGCGATCGACCACCGCCCGCGCGTCGCCATCGGACCTGATAAAGCATGACGCGAGGTGCAATATATATCGGGTGAAGAGACATGTCGGTTCATGTTTATGTCAGTAGTCAGCATAACACAGCAGCCAACCTCGCCACAACAAACACGAAGCCACCACCACCCCCGCCACCATCATCATCATCATCATCACCATTACCAACCTCACTAGCACCATCGTCGCCACGCGGTGTCATCATGGTCATATCAACAGCATCCAGTTTTGCTTCAGCAACAAAAGATCGTGACATTTCATGAGCATCGTCACTTGCAGCATCGTCAAATGCATGCTCATTCTGGTCAACAACCTCACCACCACCACCACCACCACCATCATCACCACCACCAACGATGTCGTCACCAAAATAATCATCATCATCATCATCACCAACATCATCAACATCATCGCCAACATCAACATCGACTGATGAAATCGCGAAAGAAACGTGACTCAGAGCAGTGTCGTGAGATGTCCTGAGTCCCGCACATCACGTCCCAGAGGCCATCGCTGGCAATCACTAAAACGGCGTCCTGCACCAAGTCACCAGTCTCTCTGACAAAACTGGAGCCGGCTTTGTGTGGTTTAGGCGTTTGAGGCTCTTCATCTAACGGGAACCCCAAACTGCTGCCAGAACTGTTTTGAGGGTCTTTGGCTCCGCCTCATTTCCTCCAGAGCCGCCCCCCAACTCGAAAACCCATTCCAAGAAGCCCGTGAAACCCCACATGCCGGAAACGTCCTCCGAACTCGGAGAAAGGACGGCAAAACCCCGGCCACAGACTGACTTCGAGACATGTCCCCTTGCCCCGGCCTGCGGAACTTCGCGCGTGCAGATGTGCGGATGCCAGGTGACCCCTCAGGAGGGCCGCGTCAAGTCGGATTCGGGTATATCCTTTCGGGTGTCGACTTCCGGCGGCGTCTATTAAACCTGACATGCCCCGGAGGAACTGAAAGGATGAGATGGCTGGCTCGTTTCTGTACATGCGCATCTGCATACATGCATATAATCTGCATATAACTGCACATATGATGCTAAGTAGCACCAAATATCTCCGAGGACCGCAGGTCCTTTCCGAGTACGCGTGGGCACCGTGTGGGCACCGGGCCGACGGACTTCAGCGAGTGGTCGCCCAGCGCCCGGCTGACCCCAAGTTGGCCTGGGCAGCGTCCCGAAAGTGGCGGCAGTGGCAGGCAAGTACTACAGCAGCACCGAGAGGAAGATCACGGGAAAAAGCAAAAACCAGAAGTTGACAGGAGTCGGTGGAGTCTGAGTTCCCACTGAGGCGGCGTCCGACCACCCGGCCACGCGCCACGAAGCCGCCTGCCCAACTCTGCGTCTCGCTGGAGCAGCAGAGGCGGAAGGTACTGGGCGAAAGATCTCGACTCTCCAATCTTCAGCTTCAACACGTCCTCCAGATGGGACCCAGAAGTGCTGGGATCCGCCTTCGGCTTCGACCCGCTGGATTTCGGCCGGGTCAGTTGGCCTGGCAGGTGGACTCAGCGATGCGAAAGCTTCGGGGAAGGGAGGCCGTGCCATGCCTTGCCTGTGGTCGCGCGTGAGCCGGCACTCGCCTCAACAGAGCGCTGGCCGATGCCAGCCCACACTTCTCTCTCTTGCGCCCTCCTTTCGGGCGCCCGACTGCCGGACTCCAGGACGATGGCTCGCGAATCGCCCACATTCGCCGACTCGGACATGGCTTCAACAACGAGCTTTTGGCAAGTCTCTGAGAACCCCTGCGTGGAGACGCAGCCCCGAAGCCGTCCGGTGTGCCAGCACCTCGGACTCGGACCGAACACAACAACAATCTCTGCGAGACGTCACTGCGACGTCCCTCGCGCCCCGTCATGTCCGAGCCCGAGCGCCACGGTGGCTGTGCAGCCGCAGCGCCAAGTTCCCAGAAGCCTAAAAAGGACCGAGGGCCGTTTCTGGAGGGACGAATATAGGGGAGGAAAGAGACAAGCAGAAGCTGCGGATCGGATCAGCTGTGGGAGCGCGCCTATATCCTTAAAGGAAGACTCGGACTTGAAGAGGGCCCGCCGTCAAAATACAACGGCGCACGAAAACCGAGGGCCAGGCTTCAGCTGCTCGTCCACACGCCGAAACGCCCTGGCAGCCCAGGGAAAAAAAAAGACGCCGGAAAAGGCGGCTCCCCCCAAAAAACCCCCACAGCCGCCTGGAGAGCACCTCGCCGACCACCTCATCCGCCACGGGCTCCCCCGCCATCCTAGGAGACTCTTTGGAGCCGAGGCCCAGAGGCCCCAGAGGCGGCCCCACAGCCGCCGCACACAGCCGCCGCGCCTCGTGACGTTCAGGAGCTCGTCGAGAACCAGGCCGTGGAGCTTCGTCTGAGACACCCGCGGAGAACGCGTGTGGTGTCTTCTCGCATTTCTCTTGAGAAAAACCGACACGAAACAAGAAAGGCTCCCGTGGCCCAGGCCTCGCAGAAGTCCACCGCCTGCCGCCCGCCGTGCCCGTCGTACACAGCGAAGTAGCCCCAGAGCTCTCCATCCTGCTCTGCCTCAAAACCGCAAAGAAGAATCGAAGTCTCCACCGGAAGACCGGAAGGTGAGCCCAGGACAAGGAGCGGGTCGATGATCACGGAGCTGTCCTTTTTCCCCGACATGAAAAACATCCGCCCTCGGCTCCTCCGGTCCCGGCCCGCCCGGCTCGCCCTCGGCTCCTCCATGTGCGCCCGGAAGGCGGCGTTCGCCTCCGAAGCCGCCCTGCGCCCGAAGAGAAACGAGGTTGGGCAGAGGACGCGCTTCGCGGCAGAGAGACGGCGCCTGGCCTGCAAAGGCTCGCTGTGGTTCTAGGCACCTCGGAAGGCAGGACTTGCAGCGACGGCCCCTCCGCGGCCACGGCACCGGGGCGACCACGTTTCGAAGTGCCTTTGGCCTTGCCCAGAAGAAGCCACTGAGCACATCTAACCGCCCAACAACACCTCTCCCAACCGGCTCCAAATCTGTCCTGAGATGAGAAGACTGGTCAGACTCCCCCAAAATGGACCCTTATTAGGGCTTGGTTGGGGGATGGCAAGGCATCGAGGAGGGGGACCCGGCACCTCTGGCGACTCTGAGGCGCCGCCTCAGGGAGTCGCAAGCAAGGACCCCGCGGGCTCCCCGGTTACAGACACGCTCTCTGTGACGGTTACAGAGACCGAAGCTGAGGGACAAAAAAGGTGTGGCAGAGTACCCACGAGGGCCCCCGAATCGGCAGTTAACAAGATTCCAAACGAAATAGACGAGTGCCGGATCAGTAATACGTTGACTCGATCATCTCAATCTCCAGCCCCAAAGCCAGCCACAGGATGTAAAACTCGTATGATCTTCACTGAAGCATTCAAACCGAGTACGCTTCTCGAGAGTCTTTTGCCCGCATGCAACTCATGAAGACGCTTGTCTCGCTAGCCTCGTCTTCTCTTCGCCTTCGGGGTAATAGCGGACAAGCGGCGAGTGTTGCCGACAGAATTAGCCATATCAGGTCGTGTCTAGCACCCTCAAACCACCCCTTGCCGTTCTCCATGCTGGTGTCGTCATCTGTCCTCTCCCTCTTCGCTCCCACGATACCTTGCCTCGCTCCACGTGAGCATGCCCATAAATGGCTCACACGTGGGACATTCCTCATCACCATAACAACAAAAACTATAGTCAATCACCATCATCATCAGCAGCAATATTATCATCATCATCGTCATCGCCATCATCATTAGATCATCCAGTAGTACATCATCCATAATCATCCATATAAGACCATCAGACACCGTCGTTCGGCCTCGCCTTTCCCAAAAGCCCCCGGGCCCGCACCTGGTTGAGCCGCTCCAGAGCTGCTGCGCGCCTGGGACTCCCGCACATGGGCCCCGAGGCCCGAGGGAGGCGCGAGAGGGCCCAGAGGTGAGGACGTAGGGATGCGTAGGGGTGTTTTCGGGCGTAGCTTCCTTTCTATTACAGCTGGGGTCTAGTCGAGTCTAATCTAGAGAGTCCTATCGAAGGAGTCGATAGTTTTAACCTGCTCTTTTTTTAGGCTCCCCCTTACTCTTTCTCAGAGGGTGCAGTACCAAAACATAGTTAGAGGCGGCTCCTTGGGGTTTTTTGAGGGGTTGGGGCCAAATGAGCATCTTCTGGATTCAGACCTGGACCCTTCGGACCTTCTGGCAGTTAGACACTCCCGAGTCACGAAGAAGAAACGCCCAATTCCCAAGTCCCACCAAAAACAAAGAAAAAAGAGGCGAGACGCCCCCCAAAAAAGAAGGCCCCCCCAAGAAAAGTCTGCCAAGGCACTCTTGCAGACTGCCGCGGCGGCGCTCGCCTGTGGCCCCCCCCGGGCCGGGGGCGTTTTTCGAGGCCCGGGAGCGCTCGCCACCTCCGAAGAGACGGGAGGATCTCAGGCTTCTAGGGCCCCTTTGCGCTGTTTTGGGGTGTAAGAAGGGCTCTCCGTTTAAGGGTTTAGTTCAGGGCCTTTTTTGTGAGGCTTTTTGAGGGCTTCGTAAAGGGGCTTTCAAGGGGTTGAATTAGGGCTTTGAGGGTCTAGTTGGGTAGCGAGTTCACTGCTATTGCGGCAGAGAGGGCCGGGGGTGCCTAGCGGGGTTCGGGATGTTTCGCAAGGATCTCTGCGGCTCTTGGACTCTGGGTGCGGTGATCAAAGGCCTTTGATTTCTTGGGCCTTCGAGCAGATCTTGCACCAAACCTACGCTGTGGTCGGCGGAAGGTCAGCTAGGAATAGAAATCTGGAGGACGAGAGGGCACAGGTGCAGACTGCTGAAAGGGGTTAGGGACTTGCTTCAGGGCTTCAAGCATCTTTTTTGTCGTGAGACTGTTGAAGCGATGTGGACGGCGAGGAGTCTGGTGCTTGGTCGGCAAGCGTCTCGCTGCAGCACATCCTACTACGAGCCTTTTCGAACGCGATGCAACCAGGCTGAAAGACTGCCACGTACTGACAAGCAACAGGCAACTATGGAGGGGCGCCCTGGAAACCGAAACTGTCCAAAAGCACGAGGCACGCTGCCTGCAGAGGCACTCGACTCCCGTCGTCGCAAGGGCTCCTGCGCAGCTGCCGACACCTTTAAGGCTCGTCCAAGCTTCTGGGCTCTTAGCTGTCCTTGGGACTTCAAGCTGTGTCGCTCATACGCTTGCAAGCCTCATACCAGTAACAATAGCGTCTTCGGCACGCCCTGTTCATATATCAGTCTTGCCCACTGCATGGCTCCTCTGGTAGCCTAGAGACAGCTCTGAAACAGACCATCGAGAGTTGCAAGAAATGTCAATGGTCATCATCATGAACATCATCCTCATCATCATCATCATCAGCATCATCAGCATCGTCATCAGCATGATCAGCAGCAGCATCAGCATCAGCATCAGCATCAGCATCAGCATCAGCATCATCATCAGCATCAGCATCAGCATCAGCATCATCATCATCATCATCATCATCATCAACATCATCATCATCGTCATATCGTCGTCATCGTGATCAGCATTATTACCATCACCACGACGATGATGAGGAGGAGGCCGATGAGGACGGTGATGATGATGGTGGTGATGATGGTGGTGATGATGATGGTACTGACGGTGATAATCATAATGATGATGATGCTCGTGCTGATGCTGACATATGCTGACGATGATGATGATGAGGAGGAGGAGGCGGAGGCGGAGGAGGAGGATGATGAAGAAGAAGGATTTGTCGTGCTGATGTTGTGGTGGTGATGACAATGACATCCTCCAACGAAGCATCAAGCCCCTGCAAGCAGAATCCGGTCCACGGGCTGGTCTTCAGCCTCGCGTGCCCTGTCGTGATGCGCATGACGTTGGGGCTCAGGGTTTGGAGGGTTTAAGGCGCGTCTGGGGGAGGTTGCAGACGTAGCGTCTGCCAGAGCTACACGACCGTGGTGAAAGACAGCTCCAACCCAAACAACAAGGCCCAAATACCAAGACAAGAGATATCAGAACCCACGCAGCTACCTCTTACGGTCAATTCATCGAAGACAAAATGCCGGACTCTTCAGTCGCATGGAGCCAATCACCGGATTTTCCAGCCTCGATAACCTTCTCTGGGCGGTCGGCGTCGGAACTTGACCGGGAAGTCCCTGGGCTGCTGTGGATGAAAAAAGACCCCCCTTTCCGTCCCTGGGCGGTATCTTGCGGTCCTTGCTTCTTAATTCACAGCTTCGCAGCCCAGAGTCCCAAGAAGCAGCTCTTGGCCCAGAAAAAGCTCTTGGCCCGCGGCGTGCCGCGACGGCGCTCGTTCAGACTGGCAGACAGAAGCTTCGAAGTACCGAAGTCGCGGAGGTTCGCGGAGGTTCGCGGCTTCGTCAGGGCCAAGACCACCCGCTACTCGCCACGGGTCTGTTCTGGGCAACTGTGATGGTTTCTGGACCCTTCCCTCTGACACGGGCATGCGGTGATTGGATTTAGCAAGGCCATGCCGAGGATCGGCAGCTCAAGAGCTTCTAGATTCCAGGGGTGCGCAAAGGTCGCTCTCGCCGCTTCGGAGCTTCTCCCAGGCCAGAGGCCAGAGGCTCCAAGGAAAGAGGAGCTCAGCTTCTGGGGAGCTTCTACATTTCAAAGCAGGGGCGCCTTCCACGGGGTCTCACTTCGGCTCCAGGAAGCCTGGCGACTCCACAAGAAAAAACAAAGGAAGAAGACAAGTCCGGGAGTGGCCCTCGGCCTCGGTCCGGGCCACGTGCAGGTCCTGACCGCGAGGCCATGAGAGGAGAGGCGAAGAGAAGACGACGCACGGTCGCGCAGGACTTCGGTGTCTATCCGAGCCTTGGCCTCCACGCCGTTCACTCCCCGCTCCTCGCTGGAGGTGGCACTTAGGGGTGCGGAGAAGGTGCCAAAAAGGAAAAAAAAGAGCTCCTCCTTGGCCGGCCGCAGCGTCGAAGGAGACGGCGACTGCCTGCGGCGAACGAAAAAACCGCTCCCCCCCCCCCACGCTCTCGGGCACGCTCTCGCTCTCGCTCTCTCTGGCTGCAATCTCCGAGGGGCTGCGACAGCGAAGCCAGCAGAGTGCGGCCCACGGCCCTCGCCTGACACAGAGATCATACGCACATGTCCGTCACATGTCGACCCGGCTTTCTGCAGTGCAGACATTCAGAGCGTTTCAGTGCTGGGGCCCATGCCGCACGCTGGCCGTCGTGCGCAGACATCCCAAAGGCCGCCTCCGAATGGCGAGGCCCTGCGGCTGCAGGCGGACGCAAAACGTCCTGAGACAAAGCCGGGGCGCAAAGCTGGACCACAACTGAAGTGTGTGTTTGTGTGTGTGTGTGGGGATGCCTAAGTGTGCGCACGTCGCTTCTTTTGCGGTGTTCGAGCCTCGAGCCCCACAAGAAGCACCCCGAATACATCATCAACATGACCCATGTAGCACGCAGGTCTGCAACCTTACGCAGGTCTGAGCACCAGCCCGGTCCTTGCAGCGCCTCAACGCATCACGCCGTGCTTTGCATGTCAGGCGCCCCTCTGTGCCACCAGGACGGGTCTGAGCCGAGGCGCAGAGAGCCGGGCGATTGCTGCAAATTGGCAAAGGTGCACTAAGGTGCCCTGCTGATCTGTGATGTCTGTGAGCCCGCATTTCGAAGTTTCTGCCCACTCCTTTGTTTCCAGGCTTCCAGCCTGGAAGCCCTTCTGAACTCGCGGCCACATTGGGCCAAAATTAGTACCGTGCCGGGGAACGCAACCGAAGCTGCTCAGATCAAATTGAAGCCGGTGCAATTGAAATAGTTAAGCGAGGCCGCCGGCATTTTCTCCTCGGGAAAGTGCACTTCTGTGTCCTGCATGATCATGGTCATATTCAGCCAATCCGGAATCGCCTCCAGCCAATGCCTGATGGCACACAGAATGCAAGAAGAGAAAAGGCCTGCAATCTCTTCCCGAAGCAAGCAGTCATGCCGCAATTGCTTTAACTTCTTATTTCCCATCAAAACGCTGACTCGCACGGCAACACCACTCAGGCCTCCAGAACCAGTACGTCTCTCAAGTTACACTGTCACAG